TTGAGTCCGGAAACCTCATCCATAATTTCAATCGACTATTGTTCAGCTTTGTGAAATATTTTATTTTGCAGTCAAAGAATCATCCATATTTCGATTAGTATAATAAAAGTTTAGATAGTTTTATTTCTAGATCATATGTAATTCTATATCGAGAAGAAACCAAAACAGAATGATACTCATATAGAGTACCAAAACTAGTCCGCTTACGATTCACGTCAAACTTTGTTTGATCACGCGTAGAGTTTTTTTTTGAGATACTTCAGCCTATATAATTTTTGTTCTATTCATCAAGATCTATCTGTCTTGAAAATCTTAAATTTTTTTCTGATGATTGAAAAGTGATGAACTAATATATTTTATACCTTTAACAAGTGTAATTTTAATAATTTTTCCTAAACGTCTAGTATTTAATGAATTCATATTTGGATCATTATCAACAAATAATAGATCATTGTTTTGATTAATTTCTGATAATGTTGAACGTATTTTATTAGTTGAACGAAATGATGTTGGTTTAGGTGGTATTGGTGGTTTTTTCATATTTCGAACAATTTTTAATTCAAGTTCTGGTTCAAGTAATGCCGTTCGAAATATTAATTGAGCTCTAATTTTATAAAATTATCAAAAAAAATAAAAATTTTAGCTTCTTTTTTTTGCTTTTTTTTACTTTTACTTACTTATCAAATGAACATCGTTCAATATTTGTTCGATTTATTTCAATAATTCTATCATTTAATTGTAATATACCTTGTCGTTTAATACGTCCATCAGCTTCAATATTTTGTAAAACAAGACCATTAACTTGTTGTTCATCACCATTATATGGTACAACATGTATACCTAACGGACTATTTTCTTTTGGTAATATAATTGAAAATATTTTATCACCAGTTATTTCATCTATATAAACATTATACATTCCAGTGATATCATCAGATGATTGAATTTTTGTTGCATCATGTGTTGGTGGTGAATACATTTGTCGATGTTTTATTTTGCTATTAAACGATGATTGTTGTAATATTGACTATAAAGAAATAAAAATAAAAAAAAAATATGTTAGGAATGTCTATAAAAACAGGAATTGCTTTTTTACTTGTTGTGAATTCGAATTTGGATCGTTTTTAACACGTAAAGATCGAGCTGAAAAAAAAAAAGAAAAAAAAAAAAAAAAAAAACGTTATTCTTTTCTCTATGCTTTTGCTATTCTATTCACATATATGTTTACAAATACTTATATATGACACATATAAATACGTATTTCAGCAGCAAAAAATAAAGACTGAATCATAGTATTAAAAAAATATATATCGATTTTTTTTATGATACTATTTAATATCTAAGTATATTAGTTTGATCTTCATTCTGATTATTTCAATGAATAAAATAGGTTCGATACAACACATATGAAAAAAAAAGAACCACAATAGATCAATGTTTCATATTTGTTCTTGTAGATTATATTTCATATATAAACAATCAGCACAGTTATTTAATCGTAAATTGCTATAAAAAAATTTTTCTATAGGAAATTTAATAGCTTGTTAGATATGTAATATTATATATCATAAAAATTAAAGAAGTAAATACATTGAAAAATATGTGGCAGGCCACCTGCTATTTATATGATCACATATATTTATCATGTGCTCACGTCATTATTATAGTAATTTGACACTACTTGCTGAGAAATTTAAAAATTCTAATCATTTCTCTTTCTGTACAAGAGAAGAAGAAAAAAAAACGAAAGTGAGTTCAATAATGTTTACACAAAGAGAGAGGTCAGAGGCCGAAACAATCAATCATCAATAAAAATGACTAACAGTGATGTGCAAAATTTTCATTTTCTAACCGTTTCATTTTCTCCTACATTCTTCTTTTCCTTTCACACATTGACCTGATGTAATAGTGGTTTAACTCGCTTTCAGGGACATGTTTTTTTTTTTTTACGACAACCTTAACATGTAATTTGGCCTATTTCATTCATCAATCGTCACGCACATATACACACACATAGGTGATAAGGGGATGTATAGATATATATTCATATTTCTTCACCATTGTTCTTTTTTGTCTGTTGTTAAATGTTCACTCTTAACATGAACATGTTTTATAAGTTCATATTTCGTCTTTTTTTTTTCTTTTATATATTTATTGTTTAAACTACAAGATTGATAACGATCTATTAAGATATAAGACATACTTCGAAGATCGGCATCGGTCACAATCACTTCATGACGATTATTTGAATTTGATACCATTAAACGATCATGTTCTGATAAACTTGATGATAAATTTGAACTAGTTACACTTGAAGATAAATCACCATTGCTATTTATAGTTGTTGTATATGAAGGATAATTTGATTGTTGACAATCAATAATAGCATATAACTAATTCAATTTTTAATTAAAAATAAACAAAATGTATATATATATTTATATTTATATACTTGCTTACCTCTTCTCGATCATCAACTACATCACACACTCGATCATCAGGATCTACAACAGCACCATTATTAAGTCTTAATTGAACTTGATCACTGTTCAAAACTGAACCATTATTGTATGACTAAAAAAAAGATAAAAGTTATTTTGATCGACATATAAAGACATATGTTTTTGTATACTAATGATTACTATCATATTCGATATATCGATCTGTCTAACAATAGTAATTGAATATTCTTACCAATTTACAATATTTAGCTGTTGCTACATTAATTAATTCCCGTATAGATATATCGCCATCATTACCACATGGTACGACGACTCTTTTTTCACCAAAATTAATAATAACTTTCATTGAAATTTACAAAAAAAAGAATTCGAGCAATAAAAGGATAAATTAATCAATCGTAATTTCAGACAATACATCTTAAAACTAGAAGAGAACAAAAAGAAAAAAAATATATATATATATATGATGATTTTAATGATGTGCAAGAAAAAAAAAAGACATAAAGAACGAGAGTAGAGGTAAAAAAGACTCATGTTTCTCTTCGATGTCATGTACATGTATCTGTATGCAAGCGTATAACAACGTCGTCCATCCATTGAGAGGAGGGAACAAAACAGTGAGAGATCGATCAATTGGTCGCTGAAAGGAGGAATACAACTACTATATATATATATACACTATTATGTTTGTGAAATAGATATTGTTTAAAATAAAATGAAGATAATTATAAAAAGATAAAATGAATAAAAAGGTAGATATGATATATATATACATTTATTTTTAGTGACTTACAGAAATTTTTTTTTTTTTTGTTTAGCATTTTCTTTTTCTTATGAACGATCAGAAGAGGAGTCGTCAAAATAGGTGCATATAGAAAAAGAGAATGGAAAGAAAGGAACAACAGAATAGACAAAAAAGGTAATTCATCATTTCAATTGGATGAAAAGTGATGACAAGCAACGAACACCTATTTAAGAGGGCGCCGAAGAGCAGAAGTAAGCAAAAAAAAAAATATGTTCACACTTTATTTTAAGTGATTTTAAAGTGCAAAGATCGAAGCAAAACAAATTTAAATACGTTGTTTGTTAAATATAATATTGTTTTGCATGAAATTTCAAATTAAATTAAAATTCAAAAGATTTTATTTGAATAATATTCATAGATTTAAATGAATTTGTTTGTCATAATTTTTCTTGTTTTGTATGTGTGTGTATATGATTAATTCTTAAAATTTTTTCTTTCATATACAAAATAATCAAATTTTGAAATTACATAAGATATGAACTTTATTATGTGATTATGAAAAAAATGTTTTAATTTATTTTGTTGTTACAATTTATGGACGAAGATAATAATAGATTATTTACTTCTATCTTATCAACTGACAGCAATTATCAGTTCGACAGTCTTGTATGTCGTGTTAATGTAGATAAACGAAAACTATAGTCAATGTCTTTTTTTCGTTTTCATATTAAGACACAAACAATTTATTCGTTGTTATTTTCGAGCGACTCACCAAAATAAAATTTATTATTGGTTTGATTTCAAACGACTAAAATGTTTTTTTTTGTCGTGATACAGTTTATGATTCATATTAATAAAAATGAATTCCTTAAATAATAAACTTGTTTCTGACTTTTTTTTTCCAGTTTGTAATTAACTCTTATTTTGTATTGTAATCTTCATAGGAAATTCTGAAGATTTTTTTTTTCAATAAATTATCATATTTAAAGAAAATAACTGTTCGAAAAAAAAAACAAAAGAAGAGAAGTTAAAATCGAAAGAGCACAAGTGTAAACAGTTGTTTTCGTACATGACTACCAAAGTAAATGACGTCAGGCTTTCAAATCTGTGATACATAGATCTCATTCGGTCTTAGGATAGTTATGAGTCGAGTTGTGTCTATCGAGTATATAATTTTTCTGTTTAAAATTCAGTAACAAATACAATGATAAATATTCATATTACAATAAATAGTTCTTTTTTTTAATTTAGATTAAATTAAGTAAAAAAATTGAATAATAAACATTTTGATTTTAAAACTAATTATTTTTTTATTTTAAACAAAATCGAACAATAAATTGAACGTTGAGTATTTTATTTTAAAAAATTATTTCTATTCTATTATTTAAATCAATTAAAACAATAGATTAGATAGTAAATATATTTTTCAAGTGAAGAAATAATATTTGTTGTATTTCATCAGGGCGGATAAGTCTTTTCCTGTTGAATAAATAAAAGCATATGTGAATACGATGCCACAGAGCATCGTATAATATCGTTTGTGACATTTGGAATGCTTGTCTTGAGAAGAGATGAATCGACGGATAAGATTTAATATATACTCTCTTTTAATTTGTGATATTTATAAAAGTACCATTGAATGGTTATAATAATGACTGTAATAAAATTCTATTATATATATATTTTAGATAGACATTAGATTAACCAATGAAGTATTAGTCATTAGGATTTTTTTGAAAACTATATATATTGAAAACTAAAAAATCTGAGTTGACTTTTCAACTGATATCAAAATGAATACTTCAAACGAAAATCAATATATAAATCGAGAATATTATTTATGTATGTCAAAAAATTTTCAACGTTCAACAAATCTTCTTCAACAAGTTTATGAAAAACAGGTTGTACTTGAAAATATTTTTATACGAGATATTACAGCATATGGTACTGTTCGAGTTAACAATTGTTCATTTGATAAAAAAGTTTCGATACGATTTACAATCGATCAATGGAAGAGTTTTTATATAATAAATGCATATCATTCAATGTATTATGCAGATAGTAATACAGACTCATTTCAATTTAAATTAACTGTACCTAACGATAAATTATCAAGATTATCACCACAAAATTCTATATCAACAATGAATGTTTCATTTGCAATTTGTTATGCTGTTAAAGGAGAAGAATTTTGGGATAATAATTATTCGCGAAATTATAACCTTGAAATAATTGAAAAGTACGCAAGTTTTTCTCTTATTTATATTGTGTCGTATTTCAAATTCCATAGACTTCAATTGATATACAAATTAGTATTTTGGAAAAACTATTATTTTGAAACAATCTGATGATAGCTGTTCAATCTTAGAAAGAAAATTCTGAATACATAGCTATTCGAAAAGAACGAAAAAGTTCAATTCTAACTTAAATTTACTGCTGAAAAATAAGTGAATATTTTCTACTAAGACTTGCACGCCAAAGATTATACATTCTATAAAGATATTTATTTTCAATCAATATCAATAATTTGCAGTTAAAAACCTTTTAGGATAGATTTTCTTTTTTCAAAGATTCATTATTTAATTAAAATAAAATAGAACATGATGAATTAACTAATTCTGTATCTAAGACAGAATTATTAGAAAATTTTCGTTGACTTCCTTGTTATTTTCATTGCGTCAGAGCATTAAGTTTACGACGAAAGTATCTAAGTTTTACACTAATATATACTTATTTTTATAATAGTACACAAAAAAGAACTAATTCGATAATAGATCAATCATCTATAAGAAAATCTATTCTATGCGATGATAGACTACGTAGACAAATTGCACAAGATTATCAAGCAATTTCTAATGAATTTCGACAAATAGGAAATATATGTGGATTAAAAAATCTTGGGGGAACATGTTATATGAATTCTGTTTTGCAATCATTATTATTTACTTCATCATTAACAAATTATTTTTTGTTGAATGAAAATATTCAAGATAGTACAATGAAAAATATATCAGTTTCAAAAGAAATAGTTGCTAGTGAATATTTGAATTTATTATATTTATTATATTGTGGTAAATATAATGTTGTTACACCAGCACCATTTAAACAAGTCATTGGTCATATAAATCATAATTATTTAGAAAATCAACAACAGGATGCACATGAATTTCTTATATTTTTACTTGATTATCTACATAAAGATTTAAATAGAGTAATAATCTTTAATAGTAATAGTAGAAGAAAATTTTCTCTCTTTTATTCTCATAGATAAAATTTACTGAAGTCTTGAATCAAACTCAGGAAATCGAACGTAATGCAGTTAATCAAATAAATAATCATTCCATTATTGTTGACTTATTCTATGTAAGTATTGTTACTGGGACCCGCTAGCACAATCTCTGAAGAATTAAAATGCGACACATAAAATAGCTGCACTTGTTAATCATTAAGAGGTTGTTTTGTTCTATTTGCAAGATGTTATTCGTATACGATCTGTCACTGTCTGTGAAGGAAGAGGATCATTTCAAATTTTTACTTCTATATTTGTATACCAGAGACTTGCAGCACTAACTTTAATCTTAGTTCTGGTAATCGATACCATGATTAGAACTACGAGAAAACCATTGTCCTAACCGAATTTGAAGATTATACTTAAAATATTGTATGATTCTAAGTGAGCTATCTAAAAAGTTATTAATCAGAGTGTAATTCAAGAAAGATACTCTAGAAAAGTGCTAACTGTCGATTAAATAAATAAAAAACAATTATCAAAGACTTTCTTAAATGTCATATAAATAAATTCTGCAATAGTCTTCGTTAGAATGAAACCTAGAAAACTAAAATTACCGAAAAATAACCAATAGAAAAGAAGCTACTAGAGTCAGAACCAAAAAAAAACCTTAGTCTCTATACAACATTACTCTTAGATCGTCTTTCATGAAAAAAAAAAGCATTTATTTTTTTCTATTATATTTCTATCAAGGGTACCTATCTATCGACAATAACATGTCTAGATTGTACGTATACTTCACATAATTATGAACCATTTAATTGTCTTACTCTTCCAATTTCATCAACAAATCAATGTACATTAGAAGATTGTCTTAGACATTTCAATGAAGATGAATATTTAAGTGATGATTCAAAATGGTTTTGTATGTCAAAAATAGAATCGATATAAATATCTATATATATATATTTTTTTTTTCTAGGTCCTGGATGTCAATGTCTTTGTAATAGAAAAAGACGTTTAGAAATTTATAAATTACCAAAAATATTAATCATTCAACTTAAACGGTAAGACTAAATAAAAATTAATAGATATAAATCTTTTGAAAAAATTAATATAGATTTCAAATAAATTATGAAATGAATTGGATTAAAAATAATACTCTTGTACTTTATCCTGAGAATAATCTTGATTTAAATCAATATTGTTCTTTATCATCTCCATCACAATCATCTTATACACTTTATTCAATTATTAATCATGATGGTTCATTGAATGATGGACATTACACAACATTTTGTCGAGATATTATGGATAATCAACAACAATGGTTTGAATGTGATGATGAAATAATAAAATATTTACATTCAGATAATTTATATTTCAATTCAAAAGCTTATCTCTTATTCTATACGATGAAGTAGACAATCGAATCAAAGAACATGCATTTCTTTTTTTTTTAAATTATTTTTCATTTGATTATTATTATATTTTTCTATGGATTTTAAAAATATAATCATGATTATTGCATTTCTACTATATTAATTTTGTTATATTTAGTCAAGTATCAATACAATAAAACATTATGCATATAATTCATTCTTTTTGCTTCTTTTAAACTTATTAAGATAATATAGTACTACACAAAAGTTTTCCATTCTTCGTACCTTGATTAAGATATTTTCCTGTAGGTCTAATAATGCCTATGAACATATTCGAATGAAAATACAGATTAGCAAAACCAAATTATTCAAACTGTTTTCATAAAACGAAAATAATCATGAATGGCATCTATTTTTATTTCATAACTGTGAAAATAAAGGTCCTATTGAGTTGGTTGCTTTTTTTTAGCATCGATTGTAGTCAAGCAGAGTCCGTCATCGGATTCATACCCAAAAACGGTGCACATTTTTTGACCTACAAATTTGATAGAAAATTTTTTTTTTTTTCAGATTAAAAATCCAAAAGCAACGATAGATACTCTTCAGGATTTTATTTCAATAAATTCACATTGAAAATTGAATAGATCTCTTGCTCGTCTGAACCTACAAATAAATGAAAAGAAGAAACTAGATTGGGTAACATAAGCCAAGAATATTGTCTAGAATTACATATAAATATTCAAACGTTAATGTAGGGATGTATGAATTCCAATCATTAGAATTGGTCGAAATTGTTCTTGAAAAAATTAGGAAATGAATTATTAATTTATATGAGTATGTACAAAATTAGTAATTCTATTTCAACTAAGTTCAATTCCTAGTGAAGAGTTAGAATTGATGCATGTCTATGTTTATGCAGTGTAAACTGAAAGTGAAAATTCAAAGTACATATCGCTCTTGATCTCGTTTATATAAATACAACTCAATATTGTGATGTTAATCTTCACTTGATAAATTCTGTTTTTTCGTTTACACAATGCTCTTTTCAACTAAGCGAAAACTGTCAAGCATCGAATAATAGGAAGATGATAAAAAACAAATCACTATTCAGTTCACTTCTTTTTTAAATAGTCAATAAACAGTTAAAATCTTGATCCTTCATTTGTTCCTGTACATGAAGGACGGCAAATAGTAGTAATACAAAAGAAAATTAGACCCCAACCCGTAGCTTCCTACTGAGATATTATTCGTTTATTCATGACATCACACAATGTAAATACTAAGAATAATAAATTGATCATTGATTATACTCAATTCACTTGACTTCACACATTAGAAAAGACAATCTATGTTGCTAACATGATGAAGATTTGTTTTATACCAAAAATAGAACATTAGTAGTCAATGAAGCCTATGAAAGTGATTGTACACACTTTTTTCTTCACAAGGTTATGAATGAAAACAAATATTTATCGAATCGATTCACATATATAATCTCTCTTGACAGGTAACTGTTTCAAGTAATATCAAATATCAAACGACTATTCTACATTATTGAAAAAAATAAAAATCCAACATATAAGCATAAGTTACGTTAATATTGGAATAATCCAATTAATAAACTATTTTATATACATCTGCAAGTTGTTTCTTTTTTTTTTCTGAATATGTGACTTTTGTAGGAAAGAAAAACAACACACTCATAAAATTGCAGTTGTCAAAATAGATACAAGTCAAACAAACCTATACATATGCAAAATTTATCAAGAAAAAAAAAAAAAACTTTATGAAATATATAGGAATAATTTAAATTTTTATTATGTGTTTGTCTGAGTAACGGATTATTTTCAACATCATTAAAAAATTTTGAGACAGAAGATCTGTTTTAAAAAAACTTAACAATGAATGATTTGTGTTGCAAATCAAGCTGCAGATAAAAGATAATCCATTTTTTCCTTTTTGTTTTTTTACAATCTACGCAATCATATAGGTAATGAATGATTCATTTTCTTTTAGTCCGTTGCCAACTCAACATGTGTAAAAAGAAAAATATTGATGACAACGCGATGCGAAGGCGTTTTTATTTCAGTGCTTAAATGTCATTCAAAGAGTCTGTAGTAATATTACGCAATTACTCTTACGTAATGTTACGTTATTCTAGAAAAAAAAAACACCTTCGTACATGTAATATGACAAAAATGCGGAAATTAAGAGAAAAATCATCGATAGGATCCGGCTTTGTTCTTTTTCTTTATCAATTCTGTTCGAATTACGGAATTTTCTCTTTCGATGATTCATATTTTTTCATGCTGATTCTTCTTTCTTTCCTCTTGGATATTTCCATGGTCTACAACAGATCAAAAGAGTATAAATACTCGAGAAACTTGACTGTCACTATTCGTTTTTTTTTCATTGAGGACACACTTACAAGTTTATTGTTTTTTCAATATAGATTTTTATAGATAAATAATAATGACTTCGCGACTCAAATCAGCATTTTTACGTCATACGAACTCAATAAAACGCTCCAATTTTGGTGGATTAAAAGATACTCTTCGTTCTCATATTCCTAATACTACTAACGATACTTCTTACATGTCAAATGAATATATTCATTCGAGTTTCTTCGATGATGATAATTACTTATCGATTATCAAATGTCTTGATAGCGGTTATGAGATCTGCAACGATTGTATAGATTATATGCAAAATTATCTCAATCTTCTACAAGAATTTATCGATAATCTTCAGTCATATACAAAACGTTGGAAATCAAAAATAAAACAACAATCATCCATTTCATCTTATAATACTACGAAACTTGCTCAACGTGAAACTGTTTCTATACCTAAACGACGTGCTGAAATCTTACAAAAACAATATGATGCTATTTTAAAAGTTATTAATACATATCGTACACAAGTGGATCGAATGTATCCAAATGAACGTATAGGTACTACTCATAAACATCATAGTACCGAAGCAATGAAAAATTTATTTAAAGAAGCACGTTCAACATTATGTAAATTATCAGCTAAACGTGAAAAATTACATGAACAAGAAAAAAAAGCACAAAATGCTCTTCATGATGCTAATGTTCAATGTGAAAATCTTAGTTTCGATCCAACAGCAAGCAAAACTAAAATTTCAAATGCAAAAGATAATCAAACTAAACGACAAAATAAATTAGATGAAATTCAACAGGAAATTGAACGAGCCGAACAAGAATATGATCAAGAATATGAAAATTATCGTGCGAAAGCAATGGATATCTATGAAAAATGTCGTGCATTAGAAAAAGAACGTTTAGATTTACTTGGTGAAACTTTAATTAAATTCAATGATGCAGCATTTTCATCGGAATATTCAACTGAAGAACATAAAATTTTCGAAGATCTTAAGTTAAAACTCAAAGTTGAACGAGATTCTTTACAAGATCTTGATTTTTGGGCTAAAACTTATCATGTTTATGATTCAACAACATCTCTATCAACCGAAAAAAGTCATGATGAAAGCATTTCGTCTCCAACAACTACTCGAAAAACAAAAAAATCTCACAAAAATGAAACAGAGGATCTCACAATCAAAGAAGAAAATACACAAGAATCAGTTGCTGAAGGTGAAGAAGAACAATCTCAAGCAGATACAATAACCACAACAACAAAAACTAAATCAAAAAAGAACAAAAATAATACTAAAACTGAATCAACTACAACAAATGCTGCAGCATCTAATCAAGTATCATAAATAAAATTGCTAATGATTTAAATAAGATAAAATATTAAATTTAGATTATTATTTTTTTGTATTTTGTAGTCATGAGTTTATAAATTTTTGTATAGTAACTGTTTAATTTTTGACTTTTCATGTTGTTTCTTAACTCAGTACTTCAGATTTTTGTGATAATAAGAATGTTATTTTTTTTTATATGATTAATAAAATGTATCTTTTATTTTAAAATGAAGTTTTACATTTTTGTTTTTAATTAGATCTATTCATAAAGATTCGATATTAATTGAATTTTTAAATATAATAAAATCTAATTTTCTAATGCACTTTAAAATGTAACTTTAATTTATTATTTGAAAATAGATATCGTGAAATACTAATTTAATAAAAAAAAAATGATTCCTAGTTATAATGACGTAATTCCATTACAGTCTTGCGTCAGTCATCATATACTACAACTTTTTGTATTAAGTTTTCGGATGATTCATACTGATGCTATTAATAATATGAAACTTGATTCAGAGTGATATTGACCTTTATGAGTTAATAATGATGACGTATTGCACAGCTGTCAAATTGGTCTATACATATGAAACTTAACTATATTCAAAATTATAGATCAAATATTTTTACAAACATGAAAATAAACATTCAACTATCTGTTTTATTAAAGCACAACTGTTTATAATCGGGTTGCCTATGCTCCGCATATGTCGCTTCAACTGTTAATAAACTGAAGTTAGACTTTGTATATATATTTTTTTTAAAGTTCAGAAAGTGTTCAGTTTTGATATTTATACGAGAAGAAATGAAATTTAGCAATATCTGTGAATTTTTAAGTTTCAAAAGGAAAATTTTAAATAAATGTGTTCTATTACAAAACAAAAAAACTTAGTTCATTTGATGAAAATACGATGACAATAGCTAAAGTGTATGTTGCTATCACAAAGTCTTGAAATAGTCTGCATAGAAAAAAAAAACTCTAAAGCTAATTAAAAAAAAGTTTTTATCTCTAATTTCGATATAAAATTATCAATACATGTATTAAATTCGATAAGAAAGATCTCAATAGATTTGACTGAATGTTTAAAAATCAGTCTATAGATAACTGAACTTTTATCCAATTCAATAAATGGTTTCTCTTTTAGAAATGGATCAACTTAGTATAAATCTAGTAAAAAATTGTCTTCATAGATAGTTAAGCGTACTCTATTAGTCAAAACTATTTATAATGATTAACTCTCATCTTATTCATAAAATGATTCACAAATTATTCATGCAAAAACTGATCGAATTTGTCACTTTTCTATATCGATAAGTTCATAGTATCTCAGTAGATTATTATTATTTCAATTTTGACGTGTTTATGCTTAAGTCTGTTTTGTGTATTGGCTCGCCCTTCATTGGAGAGAGGTAAGACCAATTAAAGCAAACAATGAAATTTTCGAAAAGAAAAATTTTACATTGATAGTACGCGACAACTCAACGAAGTTCTGTGTTTTATTCAAAATTCAATCCATTAACTATCAAAACACGAAAATTCATAGTTCATGGTTGCACGTCACAAAATTGAATCAATCGAGTTCATTGAGAACTCTGATTGATCAATGTATTCATCTTTATCTATTTATAATATTGTTTTATTAGATAAGAATAAAACTATGAAGTATTAATTTATTTATCATTTTCTACATATTTTTCTTGGTATAATTATTCATGTAAGCTTTATAAATTTTACTCTTCTATCTAATGTTTGAATTCTATTATTTCGGACCATTAAAGATCAATATTTTCAAATAAATAATGCAACGTACACTACGAAAACGAAACGAAAATTTTCGAATTTTCATATACTGAAGATCAATAAAAAAAAATTCTTGGTTATTTCCGATATGAACAATTTTGTTGAATTTCTTTCCTAGACATTTAATATTACAGTAAATGATGACTCATTCAAGATATTGTTTACTAAAATTTCAATAAAGATTTTCTTGCACAGAAATAGGGATTATTCTCATTTTTATCCAATTCAGAAGTGTTTTTTTTTGTTATTCTAAGTGAATTGTTTTTTCATCTTGAAAAACAACAGGTAGGTGGAAAAAAGTAACTACCGAAATTGAAAAAAAGTATAGGTAGGTTTTTTTTACTTCTCTTCTCTACTATTTTCCTTCGTTCTTTGTTCTTTTTCGATGAATCAATGCATTCATCGAAATTCATTTTTATTTCTTAATTCGGATTATTCCACGTATTCAAAGAAAAGGTAGCTTTTTCCGCCTACTCTCTCTCTTGACTTCGACATATATATATATATATATATACAGGGTGTCCCAAAAGTCCGTCGGAAAAGTTAATTCAAATATCTCTTATACAACTCAAGCAATTTAATTGATTTTTTTATAATGTGTTAGTATGTTCTTTAAAGTTTTATTTCACATAATTTAGTTTGCAACAAATATTCAAAATGATTACCATGAAGTATAATACCTAAATCCATCGTTTTTGAAATCTCTAAAAAAAATTGCAGAAAGTTTATTTTCGAGCTAATTTCGTTTCGTTATCGGTTCTTATTTTGAATTCAACCAAATCTTTATATATATATCTTATGTATATAGGTCTCTACTTTATATTTGTTAATAAACCATTCAAATGAAAAGAGACTTTGTATGAAAAAAAAGAGCTCTTCTGATTGTGGATATTTTGTAATTTGCGTATCAAAGTGATATAATTTCAACTCGATCTTATGAATCTTCTCTATGACATGATAGGAGAAATTACACTCTATATGGATTCATTAGATGATATTCAGTGATAATTCGTCCTGATATTGTCCATGGAATGAAGTAGGCTGTTGCAACAACCCGAACACTTGATAGTGGCACATTTTCACAATTATCATAAACTTTGCTGATTTTCTCTTTTGTAGTTTTTGAAGGTCTTTCAAATTGTTGTCTGTTTACTACTATACTCATTTCGCAAAGGCCTTGAAAAGCGGCAATAGCACAGTCCATGTGTAGCGTTTTTATGTCAAATTCGACTTGCATTTTTCCTTTCACAATGATAGGTAACTCAAATTTGGGCATTAATAGAACTATTCTAATTCTAATAGTTATAGGCACAGACATTTATCCAAAAATATACAGAACAAAACTTTAAAGAACATACTAACATACTATAAAAAAATCGATTAAATTGCTTGAGTCGTATAAGAGATATTTGAATTAACTTTTCCAACGGACTTTTGGGACACCCTGTATATATCATCTTAATGCTACTCATTCATTTGATCTTACAACTTATTCGTTTGTGTTTTCTTAATCCTTTTAATCTTGCATTATAAAACATCATACAAAAGTTATTTTACTCGTCACATTTCGTTAATATGCAACGTACAACTACAACGAATCTTATCTCCTGTATAGGATATAAAGGAAGCTTTGCTTCTCATGCTTTGTCTATTGGTAATAGGAACAATAGTACACTACGTCGACACAAAGAAAAACATTTTTTTCATGCTGACAATTACAAATTGATTCTTAAATGTCTTGATGGTGGTAAGTTTTCTTGATTATTAATTCACTATGATTTTTACTTCATTGTCTTTTTTTCTTTTATTGTTTTTAGGTTATGATATTTCTACAGATTTAATTGAATATATGCAAGATTATTGTAATCTTCTTCAAGAACATATTAATCATCTTAATTCATATTCAAAAAAATGGAAATCAAAATTAGTACAACAATTATCATTATCATCATATAATACTACTAAACGTGCTCAATTTGAAACAGTTCGTACACCTGAACGACGTGCTAAAATCTTACAAAAACAACATGATAATATTCAAACAGTTATTGCTACATATCGTACACAAGTAGATCGAATGTATCCAAAGGAACGTTTCGGTACTAGTCATAAACATTATCGTACGAATGCAAAGAAAATCTTATTCGAAGCTGCATATTCTTCATTATCCGAACTATCGAATAAACTTGAAAAATTACGTGAAAAAGAACAACAAGCACAATATGCTCTTGAGGATGCTAATACTCAATACGAAAATTTTACTGATGATGAAACAATAAGCAAAAGCAAAATCACAAAAATCGAAGAAAAACAAGAAAAAATAAAAAATAAATTAGACCGTATTAAACAAGAAATTTTACAAACTAAAGAACAATATAAACAAGAACAAGAAATTTATCGTAAAAGAGCAACAGAGATCTATGAAGAATGTCGAGAATTGGAAGAACAACGATTAGATTTAATTGGAGAAACATTATTAAAATTTAATGAAGCAGCTTTTTCATCTTCATATTTATTTGAACAAGATGAAATATATGAAGATCTTAAATCAAAACTCGAAAATCAACGAAATACGTTAAAAGATCTTGATTTTTGGGCACAAACATATGGTGTTTATGATTCAAAAACATCCTTAACACCCGAAATGAATCATAATGATGATATTCATAATCAAAATATCTCTTCTCCAACTACTATTCGAAAAACAAAAACATCTCATAAAAATGAAACAGAGAATTTCACAATAACAGAAGAAAATGTAGAACAATCAATTGATGAAGATGCAAATGAACAATCACAAACAGATAATACAATCACTTCAACTAAAACTACAGTAAAAAAGAACATAAATTTAACATCTATCGAAACCAATGATAATATTACAACAAATACTATGCCGCTCAATCAGGTATAATAAATAAGATTAGTAATATTTTTTAATATGATTCATCAATAGTTTTAGGTTTTTTTGTAAATATATTGTAGTCAAGAGTTTTATAAATTTTTATACAGTAACTGTGTACCTTTTATTTCTCAGATTGTAATGAACTCATTAGTTCAATATCTTGTGTTACTAAATATGTTATTTTTTTTAATATTTTCAATAAAATTTATCTTGTTTTAAAATGAAGTTTTACACTTTTATTTTTTTTTATTGAACTTATTCGTACAGATTAAATAGGAACTTTTTTTTTTAATATTATTAAATTTAATTTTTTAATACAAATTTAATTTTTCCATACTATAGATATTCGAGAAATTTAGCTTTCATGTTTCGAATGATTCATTCTCTTGTCACATCTTCAAATACTAATCTAATTTAAAAAAATTTATTCCCACTAATAATGACGTAATTCAAGTATAGTCTTGCGTCAGTCATAATATACTATAGTTATTTGTATTAAATTTCCGAATGATTCACTTTGATGACATCAACAATATGAAACTGGATTCAGATTGGAAGTGACCTTTATGAGTTAATAATGATGACGTGTTGCACTGTTATCAAATTCTTGTATACATAACAACTTTAACTATATTCTATTTGTGTAATTGGATGATAATGAAACATAAGCAAGAAAAAAAAAATACGTGATGATGAAGTATTAAAATAAAGTCATCGATTAGATATTCTTACAAACATGAAAATCAATATTCAACTACTTATTCAAGTACAGCATAGCTGTGTATAATAGAAATACCTATGCTTTGCATATATATTCAATCGTAAATAAACAGAAGTTTGTAATTATACGATATTGTCAAATCTCATTGAAACTTGATATTCAGCAAGAAGTTTGACTTTATATATTTTTTTGAAAGCTCAGAAAGAGTTGGGTTTTTATATTTACATATGTGGAAATCGAATTTAAGAATATTTGTAAATTTTTAGCTTGTCAAACAAAAAAAATTACAACATTTTCTTTTTCATAAAAAAAATAAAAAATTAGTTCATTTAATGACAACACGATGACAATGTGTAAATTTTATTTTATATTACGATCCTTGAAGTAGTCTATGAAGACATGAAGGATACTAAATCGATTCAAAAATACTTTTTATTTCTAATGTCGATATGAAACCATTAATTCATGCATTAAATTCGATAAGAGAATTCTTAATGAACTCAGCTGAACGTATGAAAGTCGTTCCACAAGTTGACTGGACTTTAATTCAGAGTAGCTCATGAATATATTGCCTTTACTACTAACCACTTTATACAAATTCTGAAAAAATTATACCATCAGCAGAGACCATAAAATAATTCTGACTTCTACTAATACCCAAAGTCTCTCTTATACTCTGGACAAATATCTCAACATGTCTTCAGTAATATCGATAGAAACATTCAATCTACTCATGTTTAAATGATTGAGTTAAATTCTTAAACAGATTTGTTTTGAAAATAGCTCTAAATACGAACAAAAATCTAAAACTTAGCGAAAATTCATAAAAATAAGAAACGACATAACTCAGTGTTTTGTAATCTTGATTTGAATGATAAAAACAATGTAACAGAATTGAATGGGGTTTTATAAGAGTATAAGATAGATGTAACTCAATATCTGACAGATGGATCGAAATAGGGAGTGAATGTATACCATCTTCCCTTTTTATTTGCAACTACATCTACAACTACACACAGAGACCCACACACTTCCACATCCCCATGCTTTATCCAAATTTGAACCACATATCAGATATCACATTATATTTTTCTTATGCTGTGAAATTATCCAATCAGAGTCTATGAAATTGTTGATATAACTCAACTAAATATTAGTAAATGTTTTTATATTTGTTTCCTTGTTTTCATCATTTTTCGTTTAGTTTCAGGCTCTTTTTCCGTATTCAAGGCTATTTTCAAACTGATTATGATTAAGAAGTTATTTCAATCATGTAGGAATGAGTAGATTGAATGTTTCTATGAATGTTAGTAAGAACAAGTTCGGACATATGTACGGAGCATAAGAGAGAGATTCTGAGTGTTAATAGTAGTGGAAGTCATTTTATGGTCTTCGTTAACGGAATATTTTTTCTAGAATTCGTAGAAGTGAATGTTAGTATAGATTACAAATACCCAACATACATCTAGAATTTAGTTTATATTACCAACTTATCGACAATATGTCCATATGCAAATACAAGACTGAAATTATTCGAGACGGCTAGGTAAACTAATAACACACGGAAGCCAATCGAATTTGTCGATTTTATTTATCGACAAGTTCTCAGTTAATCGGTAGATAGTTTTTTACTTCAATTTATATGGGTCTATTCTCAGTTCTGTTGTGTATATTCACTTGCTCTTTATTCAAGAATGTTTCAGCCAATGGAAAGAATGAATAGTATTATACGAAAAAAAAACATTTTCTTGATAATACGGTGAAATCTTTTTGTATCTATCTATTCACTTGTTCATCTATGTAATTTTATCTGAATGTTTTGACTTGAAAGACTTTTCGAAGACAACACAAAATTTAATTGTTTTCAAGAACAATCTTCTAATTTTATTTGTTTTTTTTTTTTTGATTTTGAACTAATTTTTTTTTTGTATCTCGCTATACAAACTATTCGTACACCTGATCGTCTAGTTTTTGTGCCGTAGCATGTTTTAATTTTCGTCTAATATTTTGATATCGATGTATTTGATAATTACTTAAATATTCTGTTTTATGTTTCAAAATATTTGATACTGAGTTCAATGAGATATTATATTTCTCATTCTATTTCTGTTGTGATTGACCATTACCGTTTTCCATATCATGAATTAATAGTTTTTTTCTTACAAAGCTCGTATTGCAATGTCATTCTGTAATTTATATGTATAGCAGTCGAATCATACACGAGATGGATTTACGCGTAGTACATACGAAATGAGTAACAGTATAGAGAAAGATGTCAAAAAAAACATATAGGGGGTGTGTGTGTACCTGGGTGGTGGTGTCGGTGTGAATATGGGAGTGACGAATGGGTGTGCATCTTCTATTTTCTCACACCTATCAACACTCCCACCACCCACCCACACCCCATACAGGAGCATTGCTGTTAATCAATAGTGATATCTTGTAATTTTATTCGAAAAGATGAGTCTTGCATTCAAGAAATTGCTAAGCTATAAAACTTTCGAAGTTTTCTGCATTGTTCAAGTTTTAGAAGATGCATATTAGAAGAAATTTTATGATATTTCACCTGAACATACCCAGATTTAAAAGATTTGTATGATTTTTGTGATAGATAAAACAGCTAGTTTTTAGTGTGTTGGATGATTATAAAAGTGTCGATATTATCTCGTCATTATCACAAGCTTCTCTCTCAATAAGTAGACTGACGAAGTAAATTGATTTTAGTTAAATATCAGAGATATTTGAAGAAACAAAACAATGTATATCATAAATATTAATTTCTACTTTTGTTGTTTCCTATAAATTCAACTAAAGTTCTACCAGGGATGACGTAGAGATGTAATCGATAAAGAGTTTGTCTTGTTGATACAAACATTGTTCAGATCAGATATAAGTAGCTAGTAAGTTAACATGGATCATCTAGTCATTGTTTTTTAGTTAAATCAAGTCAAACTGTTTAGATATTTGGTACTATTCTAGCCGTCAGTTTTTATTTATTTTTGGTTATAGTTGACTCAGATTTCTTAACTATTCGAATAACTTTTCCATCCTTGCCATATGCCATTGTACAGATAGTTATTGCTTTATTGAATATAATCTGTATTTCAATTCAGTTTCTTTGTGAATAAAGATGTGGACGTGAGCATAAATCTGAGTTAAAATACGCTTAACAATCATTTACTCACACATAAACAAACATCTTCAGTCAATTTAACACTACCATTATTAGATGAATCAATCGTATAACAAAATATATCCAAACTAATACTCGTAGTTTTGATCGACAACACTTATTTTATATAATTTATTATTACTTTAATATATATATTCTTGTTCCATGTTGGGTGTAGATGACGATTAGGTAGTAAGTAGATCAGCTCCAAACAGGCATATTCCACCCTGACAGCGGTT